TTTCCCTAAGCATCCCAGTGCAGATGGTTTCTTATCCAGCTAATCATTTTCATGCTGTTTTTCTTTTGTTCAACTGTCTTAGAGTCTAAGAAGCCAGAAGGACTGATGTAGCTGTTATATCACTGGTCTGGGACTCGGTGTTGAGGTTCAGTTTCCCACTTTGCCACAAACTCTGCATTACCTTAGGCTTTTTGTGTCTGAGTTCCACATTTGTAAAACAGGGGCTCTAAACTCCACACTTCTGAGGTTGAGATCATTAGAGGCATTTGAATGCTACAGATAAAGTACCTGCCTAGATACAAAGCAGAGGGTCAAGCCTTAAGGAATCAGAATTTGTGGCAGAGGTGATAGACCAACTAGATAATTTGCAAGCTTTTCGGCGCGCACACCCTTCGTTAGGCATAGGAGAATGCAAAAGATTGTAAAATTTCTCCTAGGTGGAAATGAACATTTGTATTTCACAGGAGAGCTGAAGGTAGTGTAAGATGTCCTGGTTGGAGTAGTTCATTTTGTGCAAATCAGGCTCAGATAAAAGTCAGAACAGTCTTTTTACGTCTGGTGGCAAGCAGGATGTAGAATTGTTTTCTTCTGGTTATGATATTTTATATTTCACAGGAAAGTGGAAAGATGAAATGCTCTCCTGGGCAAGGAATTTCTCTTGTGTTGAGATGCCTCTGAACTCTGTGAAAATGCAAATTTTCAGGGTCGAGGCCTTGCACTTGTAGTGTAAACAGTACAACAATACTCCCAGCTCTTTTATGTGTTTGGCCCTCTGGGGTGCTGGTGGATATGAATGAGGCTGTGCTTTCAACCTTCATGCCACAGCAAATCCCTTTTACTCCTTGCAGCGGTGAATGGAAAAGAAGTGCGCTTTATATTCAGAGTACTGATAATGGGCCTGCTCTATTGAGAAGTCTAAAATAACCCCAAATAACAAGCTGGCATTCATGTGTTGTCCAGATTTGACTCAAGAAATGCTTGAAGGTACCATCTAGAGCTCACATCCATGACAGGAGAATAATTGTGCCTATGCGTGTGCATGTGCACAAACCCAGACTTCCCTGTGTGTATCAAAGTTCAGTGCACAGTTTTGCATGTGCAACCTTAAACATTTGATCCCCTAATTTAAAAATAGGAAGAAGCAGATTGAAGAAATAGACTGGCTCCCTTAACTTATCAGAATTCAGCACCTATATTCTCTTCTATCCAAAATTCCCAGTACTGCTCAAAAGAATTATGTCTGACTTGAAATACAGCACTTTTGCCAGCAACCTATTGTTTACTTCCCTTTTTGCCCCACAAATACCAGTACATTTCTGTCAGTTTGTGCTCCATTGCCTGCATTCCCATCTTTTTCTCTCTGTTTTGTTTCAGTAGCAGGTTGGTGCACAGCAGCACAGAACAGCACAAGAGACATAAGCTTGGAAGGTATCCTAGCGACACATCATTCTAGGAACCTACTCTATTTCTCCGAGCAAAAATCAAAGTAAACATCATGGAAATGCAGCTGGGTGGGAATAGATCGGGTTTGGTTTACAACTAGTTCTTCTCTTTAAAATTGTGTCTTGGAAGGGACATTTGGTATTGAATATTAAAGTCATCTTAACAGCCAAAGCATGCATAGGAAAGAGGAAATGATTTGCTTTGACTGTACCCAGGAAGCTGTTTTTTCAGATATTTAGTATTGGTTTGTTGACATATAAACAAGCATCTCTTTCTAAATCATTTCTATTCAGTTATTTTTCACCCCTTCATCTAAGAGGCATCACAATACATTTTTCATATACTTTTCTCCAAAATTATTGCAACATTCATGTGCTTTTCTTTCTCCTTACTTTCTTCAGTGTCTTTGCCTTTGGACCAATATTTAATTAATGTAAAGCTGCAGCTGTAATCCTGAGTAATCCTCTGTGTTTTATTAGCTGTGCCATGGAACTCCCCATGCCAATGTATTGCACTTCCAAGCAGGGTTGGTGTCCACATCTCCTGTGACCTCTCTGGTGTGCTGCTCGGAACTTCCTTGTCCCCTTTCTGCGTCTTGCTGGCAGCAGGTGAAAAGTCTCTTCAAGGAAAATGAAAAGTGAAGCTGTACTAACCCCAACACACAAGAGCATATAGATGTGTATGACCCCCCTGCCCCAACTGTAACCTCTGCCCAGCATTCACCCCAGAGGGGACTCTGCAGCTGGGGTGGTTGTGGGATGGTCCTGTTCTGTTGGAGTTCCGTGCTAGCATGAAATTCTCACTATTTCAGTCATTTTTAAAACAAAATTAGGGGGAATCTATAGAAGAATGGTGTATATATCATAAGAACAGATCAAAGAAAATCATGTATCCATAAATCATTGTGACATTCATTTACTGATGTTTTTGAACTTGTGCCCTAATGCGTACTGTTCGTTGTGTCTGTTCTTGGTTGTCCAGGGACAACCAAGGTAAGAGAGTAATAGTGCCATTCATATAGTACATTACAGCCAATTAACAACTACAAGTAAAGCTGTGCCGCCATTTGGCATCTTAATAAAATACAAATACTCTTTCTAGATCATGACTGTTTTTAAAAGGCTGTTTTCATATAACAGCTGTCTGAGACTTGACTATTCGGTTGTTTACAAAATCTGCCTATGGTGATAGTCTGTGTAGCTGCCTCACTATTTCCCTGCTGCGGCTAGAAGTGAGCATTGTAACTATCAGTGATTTCCTTGGAGGGTGTCCAATCCTGCCGAGCTGGGCAAAGTGTAGGATTGCAGAGCCACCTCAATTACCAATAATGTTTCATCACAAAAGCACCAGCCCTTTCTCCAGGGACACTTCATACAGAGTTGGATGGATCCTAGCTGAGTCTAAACAGCAAGGAGTAAAGTAAGTGGCTCTGGCTGTAACTGCTCACATTGATCATCACCAGTGGTGCTCAAGCTTTGGGCCAGATGAGTGGCACAGGACTAGTCTACAAGCCAGATTGGGCCCCATGCCTCAGCATCAGACTCTGGAGCTGGGCACTGTCTCCCCCTGGGCCTGAGCCCAGGATTGGGCCCTGGAGCCTGTAATCACCCTTTCCCACCCCTGAGCACCAGGATTGTGCCCCAGGAGCCTGGCACTACCCACTCCCAGTCCTGCACCCTGCATGTGGGCTCTAGAAGCCTGGTGCCATCCCTGCCCTGGCCCCCATACCAGGAGTCGGGTCCTATGCCACCACAGCCTGGCCCTGTGCACTGGGATCTGGTGCCCAATTCAGCACTGTCACTGCTCCCCTAAAAATTTCCAGACCTGTAGGGAGTCCTGCAGGCCAGATGACATGGCAAGGGGTTGAGCAGCCATGATCAACACAAAAAAAATCACAAGTTTCCTCCAACTTATTGCCTCCATCATCCCTACCACTGACGCATGTGGGCATGCACTCTTTTGGGTGGGGCTGTTTGACTTTTCACTTTGGTGCCACTGCTGAGGAACTCTTTTTCAGTGGATCCAGAGGCAAGAGTCATGTTCTCCCCACTGCTTTTCTTTTAATACCCATGTTTTTGCCATACTGTTCCTCCTTATTCTTATTAAAAAATGTTTCTACTTTAAGATTGTTTTACCTTAATGTATTTTAAAAAATGACCCTAAATTTAGTAATGATTTTGTTAATATGAATTGTACTGATAACTGTTTGATGCGACTGTTTTGCTTTCAACAA